AGTTGTTTATTCTTTGACCTTGAGATCATTTTTGTTGTTATTTCATTTTGCTCTAGCATTCAATGTTCAAGATGTTCCTTATAAAACACCCGCTGTTAGACATTCGGTGGCGTACCAATCGTAGTAATTAGTCCAGCCATTTTTATTCATTGAATTTTCACGAATTTAATTTCTAACTCATCGATTTGTCGTCGTTGAAATAGGTAAATTCCAGGCCTAATTCTAAATGCTTTGAGATAATCTTGCAGATTACGTCTTAGGTTGCCAGGATTGAAAAAATCACATTGCATGGAATGGGGATCGGCCAGTGTTAAACCTGCTTAATATAATAGACCCGCGGCTGAAATAACTTGAACCAAGAGACCTGATGCCGCTACTTACAGGAAAGAAATTCGTCGCGACAGATTCACTATTTTTTTATTTTTACTCGATGTCGACAAATTAATTTTTTGTTACAAAAGTTCTCTGCTAGCATCGGGGGCAACACTCTCAGAAATGCAGTTGGCAACACCAACTGCTTACATAAACGTTATTTATTCATTCGGATTGAGGTAAGTGTACAAAAATGTTCACCATATCCATAGTTAGCTACAGATTTGGACCCAAAAAATAATGCATTTGCTTGCACATTCTACATAATGAGGCTCAGTGCAGTGTTCAACTTCCGTTCAAACGAAATGCGTTCCTGTCTGACAGGGATTTTGTCGATTTACTTTTCGATTGGTTATTGCTTTATTGTAGTGGGAATTTGAATTATACAAATCTCGCAAGAAATTGGTATTAAAGGCAATATTGGAAGAAAAGTATTCACACCGAAGAAGTTTTCAGCGGGCTAATTAGCCAGCGTTTCTCATATCCGCCATACAAATATATTAACTTCATAGCATTCTCATAGCATAGCATTAATTGTATCGCTGGAAAATATTTTCTTCAGAGCAATTTCCAGTCATAGAAATTATAATTGAGAATGGCTCCCTCAGGAAAAGGCCAAAAATGTACTCGTATTCTAATAACTTTCATCTAAGAATATTTTCATCTAAAAATGGCAATCGTTCGGAACAAAGGTTTTAATTTTTTACACAAGTAAGCCCTAGAGTCGTAAAAAAGTTTTATGACCGCGCGAACTGGCCCCGCCCTCCGGACTTCACACGTAACGCAGGTCCACTTTATCTAATTGTAAAATTTATGAGGCTAGTCTGTAAAATATCTTAACTTTAACCCTAATTAAGTCGAATAACATGTGACCATTGGACCCATTATTTTCCCGTTGTTAATTTGCTTCTGAAAATTACATGGGGCAAAACGTCAATGATAATTGAAAATGTTCGAGGTGACTCCTAAGGCTATTAATTTCTACCGATATATTCATATTCATATTCATAATAATACGGTGGATACTCCATAATTGAAGAAAAACCCCACCAACGGTTGCGCGCACGCACATGAGGGCATTGGAGAACGTGTAACGTCCTAGGCAAAAAAATAAGTACATTGGAGAAACAGGCGATAGAAAGGTTTTAGTTCGTTTATCTGGACCGCACACAGCTTGAATGTCATCCTAAAAATCATGTGATGAGCAACGAACTCAGTTTCGCTTGAACACGGAAATTCTCAGTTAAATTTTTGCAATAAATAAATTTTTGCAATAAATCATTAATAACTGAAATTTGAAAACGAAATTTCATAGACATGAACTAATTAATCAGCGTGATGCTATGTTATTGTTATATCCTGCCGAATAATCTTTCTTTGCTTCCAGCTTGATCATGATTTTAAATGAAGAATTAATAATTTCACTGAGTTGTGTGAAATAAGTTTTCGGGCATATGGTGCATTCAAATTAAACGGCATTATTGTCAGCCGTGACAATAGTTGTTTCATCCCTGTAAGCCATAGTAGTAGTGTTTCAACAGTGAATGGCATTGGAATACGAGTTAAAACTTTTGGCAAGACAATTATAAGCGTCAATAACTGCCGAAGTTAAATGTTCTTTCCGCAGCTCCGGACGTGATCTCATTTGTAGCGTTGCGAGAATCACTCCAGCCCTACAGCACGCGTAAGACCTCTTTCTAAGTGGATATGGATTCAAGCTTGTGCTATGTGGAAATCAAATCAACTGAATTTCTTATCTATACTAGAGTGTTTATCTGGGGACGAAGATTCTTACTTAGACCGGAAAATTTAGATAATATTGAATAGAAAATTGGAAAGATTTTCACCGGAAATCTCGTTTTTCATTCAGAATTATAATGCGAGAGATCCATTCTTGAATGACATACACATAATGCATGTATACACAGAATACTTATTCTCTTGGGACAATGTACCAACTGAAGTATAATGTTCGGGAGTTGTATCAGAAATCGTTTAATATTGTAACCTGAGACCACTTTAGATTTTTAATCAATTACTTATTCAACAGAAGTGTCTCGCAGTTCATTTGAGAGAAATATGAATTTTCATGCTTCAATACATTCTCTGTAAAAGTAAACAATGTTGCAATCAAGCCAAAACGTAAACAAGTTATATCTGGTTCATTATTGTTTCGGAAATAGCAGTACAATTTTGAGCGATAATATAATGTCAAGGTCAGTGTATTACGTAGCTCCATCAGCAATTTATTTTTTGATTCGGTAGAAAAAATAATTATTACTCAGACACTGCATTAGAAGCTGCAACGTGAGAACGGGGGGAAGTTAAGCATTACAAGAAGTGAGCGAGAGAGAGAGAAGTGGAGTGCACTCCCATGGTCATCTAGGAGTTTATCGGTGCAGGAAGTGAGCTCGAGAGAGAAGTGGAGTGCACTCCCATGGTCAGTTAGGAGTTTATCGGTGCAGGAAGTGAGCTAGAGAGAGAAGTGGAGTTCACTCCCATGGTCAGTAAGGAGCTTATTGCATCGTGCAGGAAGTGAGCGAGTCCCTTATAATTTACGAATCGTACAGTCGCTGTTCATTAACGTTCAAGGCGCTCAGATTTCTGACCTATTAGATATTGTTGATAAACTCGTATCACTTGATAAAGGTAAAGTTCTAACATAATCATTCCTCAAAAGGAAAGAGTTATCGAGAGTTGCTTTTATAATCTGTTGGTGTTTCATTATTCTTTATGATTTAGATGAAGGATCTGTTTTCCTCATTTTCAGATCAAAAAAGCCATGCTGAAAGCTTCTGAAAGCCTACAGAAGGTTCAGTTGATGTACCTATTGCTAAATAAAATAAATAAAATTTACGAGTTGTCCGTTCCTAAACCAGTTAGCAAAAATATTAGGAATTTGTTTCGATATTTTACTTCAGATTCCACCTGAGAAATAATATAATCAATCACAACCATGTGTCATTGTTGAGTGATTTTCACAATTATCATCAAAAGTAGATTGTTCTTGAATTATTTTTTTTTGCTGTAGCGACAGTTGAATGCTTTCCCGTTTTTTACGAAAGTTACAATAAGCGCAATTAAGTTACAGGTAGGAGAAACTGGTCAAATTTAGATGACATTATTAGCCATTTTGGATGCCACGTTTAATAGAATAGTTTGTTGGCATGAAGAATAATAGAACACGAGTGAACTATATTTAAACAGTTATGATATCATGGAGTATGTTTAAAATTCAGAAAAAGGACGCGAGTTTTAATAAAACCAAGAGGTTCTCTAAATTTCACCTTCTGGAGCGCCGGTTCCGAGGAAGTTACTATGAAATTATTGAAGATTTGCAGGGACGATAGTTATTTTCTGGCCTATATTAATAAATTTTGCTGTTGAAGGAAGACATTGCAGCTTCTATATGAGCCACTTCATATCACATGGAATTGCATGGCTATTAACAGCAAAAACAATCATTCCAAATCCAGCATTATCCAAAAATTTGAATGTATTGAGGTTTGTTTTTGCACCTGACGTGAATTATACCATGAAAATTTACGATTTCATCTCTTTTCTGCAATGCTTAATTATTTAATATCTCTCAAATGCCCAAGGTACAGACAAAAAAATTATGAACTCTTTCGTAATGAACATTATAAATTCAACAATGCAGCAAGTAACGAATTCCTAGAAACTCGATTTCGAAATTTTGTCGTTTAACTTGACCAAATTTGACGCTGTAGATCAGCGAAGGTCTCATCCTCGAACTACTGATGCGAAATTCAGTCGTGAACTTTGATCGCTGCTCAGAATGAGATGCTCAGACTGCTTATAAGCAGCGGAGAACGAGCAACTGTGTTCTCAAGCTGCTTCAGTTGAGTCGTTCAGGCTGAAATGAGTTTGCACTTTGATCGTTATGCCATTAATTAAACGCTAAGCAACTTAAAATGTTTAGGATGACTTCAAGTTCACAGTTTCTTTTTATTTTTTTGGAAAATAATGGGCTATCCAGTCCACTATTATGCGTTTTCACTTCTCAACTTATATTCAAGCAATCTTTCTGTCCATGTATATGTAGAGTTAGACTGAAAAAAAAATTTTGTATTGGAATAAATTACTGTATACATTTGGATTTATATTTTTCATTTCTCGGTGTTGAATTTAAGACACTTTTTAGATTTATATATTCGTAGAAAATTCATTTATTGATGAGGTTAAATAAAGTAGATACAAATTTCAAAGAGGGAGTTGTAAATACACAATTATGAATATAAGTAAAAAGACCTATTCAAAAACAAAACATACATTTTATAATTTTTCTTTCTGCAGCCAATTTTTACGATACGTAGGTACCAATAATATAATTTGTAAATCAATGTTAATATTCAGGAAGAATACTTTCCATCACCTGAAAAAAACTACTTTTATTGGCTCCAAGAGTTTCAACTTCATTAACAAGCGCGATGATTGGTGAGCCGGAAATGTTGAACAAGCATAATAAATCTTTTCTTTCATCACCCTCAGTATAGTGCGGTTATCACCGCATATATGTCTGTCACTATGAAAAATCTAGTATTTTTTGTGTGGGCAGCTTCAATTATAATTTAACAGTACCTATATATATTCATAGTCTTGCTTCATGGAATCATCAGCGCAAAAATTTTTAGAAAAATGAAAATTGAACAATGCACAGTGAATTATATTCACAACACAAAACTTCCTTGCAAGGTTTCGGAAATTATAAATTTGGAAATTGCAGTATAACATCTTACATGATTTACCATCAAACATCTAGGTTATTCACCGAGAATCTCTGCCATCTGGAATTAATAAATGCAGTTGGTGATAGAAGCGTGTTCAATCTAATCAGGCAAAGGTATCAAGCTTGGAATATTCATAAAACGTCTGCATATAAAAATCGTGTGAAGCAAATGCTCGAAAATTGCGGTTACAAAAATTATTCCAGCTGAACTCTGTAGGAGCGAGCTGTGATTCACGTCCCTGGGCTGAATTGCAGCAATTTTGTTGCCTGAAAAAAAAAGAAATAAAGTAATAATTTCAAGTCGGTTATAATTTATCCTCGCTATTTATGTTCTATGATTTTTCTTATCACTTGAATTTAGATGGAAAACTTTTCTTTTCCGTAACTTTAGTTCTCCTTTTATGCTTCAATGGACAAGAAAAATTATAAAAAAATATAACTCAGTACTCACTGCAGTGAGTGACAGAGAGCGCATTTTCTCGTCCACGAAAACTTGAGGTCACGGACGGACGGTCGGACAGACGGACGGACAGACGGACGGACAGACAGACAGACAGACAGACATGACGAGCACAATAGTGCATTTTTCCATAAATGAGAAAATGCGCTAAAAATAGACTATAAAATAGACAAGAAAACTACAATATTTAAAGTTATGATCTCAGGCTGAAATAACTTTCAATAGCCACTCACTTCCGTCCTGTTGTAATTGAATTGTAAGGGGAATGGAAGGAGAAATGAATTCCCATTTCATCAAGTATCGCAAACTAGTTGGAAAACAACCGGCTTTGCTGGCCGACTACAGAAATTCCGGAGTGACAGACGGCCATCTAGTTGGCTGGCCAATAAGATTATTTTCTTTGATTCAATAACGACAGAGACATTGCACTTGACCTTGTCAGGCCGTAGTGTTCGTGCTGAGGTTGCGTAAAATGGATGCGACTCAATGCCCTTAATGCTCGCTCGCTGACATTCCATAATGCGAGGCCACAGTAGGTTCAATTTAGGGCAGCAAAATTGAGGGCCTACCGCAATTGAAACTTAAGAAATTAAAGGCTGCTATTATTTAATTTTTTCCAAATTTTATGAATAATTCAAAGCTAATATCTGGAACCGAAAATATTAAAATAATTTGCTGCGTCAAATAACAATGTAAAATAAATTGAGTTATGCCAATCATGGAAACAAAATTACGCAAAATTAATTGTTATATAAGGCCAGAAAAACATGACCATATTTCTGACCTTGAGTGATGTATACAGTGATGCTGGCAGCTTCTGTGTTTTCTGCGTCGCATGTGTAGTTGCCGGAGTCTGAGGGTCGGGCGTCGGCGATGGTGAGACGCGACATGACGCGAGGCTCCGTTTCCATGTGAACGACCACCCCACCGCGCTCCTGGTCGTAGTTGATCATGCGCGAGTTGTGGTACCAGAAAATGTACAACGGCGCCACGCGACTCTGGAACGCAGGAAAAATAAACTTTTTCTTTAGTTATTTATGAACNTTTTCGTATCGTTTTACGCTCGTACGTAAAATTTAAGATCGCCTCTGATTATAATTTATAAATTATGCCCGTAGGAAAAACAGTAGCTAAGATTTCACTTTAATGAAAATAGTGCAGGCCTTTTGCATGACTTCAAAGTAACAACATCGCCTTAAGGCGTTGACAAGCAACGCCGAGGGTGGATGTAAAACGAGGCACTAATGAGTTTCATGTTAATGAAAGTTAAGTGCTCATTACAGGTAGAAATATTTCGCATCACCCCTGCCGTCACTTTAAAGACAGGATATATTTACTTCGTAACTGCCACGGTGAGGGAAATTAATAATCGTTGATATTTCGGTGCTGTGCATGGACTCGCGCCGATGTACAGTTTGTAACAAATTCAGTGTCTCAGTAAGTGTACACAATCGATCTATAACTCTTTGTGCAAGCGAAGAATGTCCATAAAGGGAACTTATATACGAATATATGGATGGATAAAATCTTTCATGTTTATAAAATATTCAACGATCATGACGCAAGCCACCCGTGTTGCAGCAATCAGCATGCATACATTCATCATGATCATGACACAAACTAGGATTCAACTTGTGCTATCAGGGTACATTGATGGCTTTTTTCCCGACGTTGAAGAATGTTTGCGTCTCCAGGATTCTTCAATAAACAACAGAAAGGCAAAAATATATATTTAAATCACTGCTCTGCATCGCCAAAAATTCACGGAAATAATGTTTTTGGCAGCAGAAGGGCCCGCTACAAAATCAATATAGGCGAAATATTATTAAAACGTTCACGTCGCATGGGTCTAAAGACAACCAACTATAAACATTCTGAGTAAAGTTAATTGCATTGAATCAGTACACAGGAACCGGTAATATTTTTTCATGGTGGTCGGAGATAGGCATGCGCGTGCATGAGTGCTGAGACAGCTTTGATGCTACACTAAGAAATATAGATCAGATTACACTCGGATGTATCGTTCAGCATGATAGTCCGGCTAATCAGAACAGTTGGAATATTATTTCTTTTATATTTTTGCCATAAATGATAGACTGCAATTAATAAATAAATTAATTTAAGATTTTAAATTAATTTATTTATTTTAACAAATATATCAGGTCAAAAATATCCATATCGGACATCATCCCAACATACCAGACTTGTGAGATCTGGTATTAAAATATACCAGTTGGCAACGCTGCCGATGACCGGCATGGCGCTCTATACGAAAAGAACTGATGTGAGAACGGCCCGTGACCGGACCGAACATGTGAATGCACCTGACAGGGACCGTTATGAGCCCATACCTGTCACGTGCCCGACAGTATGGTGTGAATCAAGCCTTAATAAATTAGTAAATTGAAATCTGTTCATATAGCAGACGAAAGGCTCAGACATGATTAAATAATTGGTTTTAGTAGAAGACGAGAGAATCTAACCATTTTGCCAAAACCGGAAGTACGTCAGAATCAAGGTACTGTTATCAATTAAATGTTCTTGATTATAGTCATAAATTGAATACTCAGCCGACCGCGAATGCCAGAGTACCGGGAGATTAATTCGTTTTCAGGAACATTCTACTCTTCAGATTCGTGAGATCAGCAGCGTAGCTGTATAACCTTATACTATTAAGCCCAATTGCGTACTCTTTGATAGTTCGAGCAATTAGGCAGATGCATTATATACCCCAATTGACGAGTTTCTCAGTAAACTGAGTCTCCACCGTGATAAATTAGCCCTTGTTTTCTTGATTGCATATTTATGTGTAATTAAGCTCATGTCTTTTTCAATAGATTGGTAGCGACTTGATTACATCACAATCTTCAGGAAGTAATTATCATTTTTGATAACCATTTTAAATGGGCAATTAATTAATCGAGAAGATAACCGCAAATTTGTCCTCTTCAAAACATATTACCTTGAAAGCAATGCAGGAGGATGAATTTTTTTTTTTCGAATAAATCATTCCCCAAGAAAATTAAGTTGTCCTGGAAATGCAAATTTTATTTATGAGGAGAAATGCTCATTAGCATTCATGACTTTCATGAAGCGCTTTTCAATATTCAAAATGATTAGTCATTCACTGAGTCACTGAGTCACTGATTCATTCACTGAGTCGTTCAGCTGCGACGCAATATGGGTGACACATATCCACTCACAAGTAAATACTGTAAACGACCCTGCTGTAATTTTGTTGAAAATACAGGATAAATTAGAAGTTATGTCATTAATAACATAATTTTAGTTCAACAAGAAACTTCTAAAGTTATAGAAAAATATAACTCAGTACTCACTGCAGTGAGAGTGACAGAGAGCGCATTTTCTCGTCGACGAAAACTTCAGGTCACGGACGGACGGACAGACGGACGGACAGACAGACAGACAGACAGACGGACGAATATGGCGAGCACAATAGTGCATTTTTTCATAAATGAGGAAATGCGCTAAAAATGTCAAGTTAGTACGGAAGTTGTGCGTGCGTTGTACGTTTTATCATAATTACGATAATGTTATCATAATTACGTTGTGCGTATTTTCGTATCGTTTTACGCTCGTACGTAAAATTTAAGGTCGCCTCTG